GGACACCCTTACATGCCTGAAGCTAGATGTGTAAAACAGGTCGTGCTGCCATCACCAAGGATAACTTCGCCCAGCATGGCCCACGCCCCAAGCCTCTGCGGACCTGGGCCGGGCCAAGCTGTAGGCCATGTCGGGCTGGGCCATAGGCCAAGCCTTGGGCGTGGGCCGAACCAGGCCAGACTGGTTTTTTACTTGTTTTTTTTTTTAAATTTTTTATTTTTTATTTCTTTGCTAAGTAAAAGTGTAAAACTAAAATACTCAGTTTTCCTTTAGGCTTTGGGAACTATTTGAAAAAATAAGAAATGAGAAATCTAACAAATAAATGAAAAAAATACTTAACCAAATAAGAATGGAATAACAAATTAGAAGAAAAATAGGAATTTTATTTCATTTAAATTTGAATGATACAAATTACAAAGCTTACAATGGTTAAATACTTGGATGAATGAAATATGAAAATTGGAAAATAGAATAAATTAATATAATATAAAATATACAATATAGTTGCAAATTGAAAATAGAAAATTGCATTGTTAAAAAATAGCAAAGAAATTAAATAAAATTAAAACAATATTTACAATAATTTGAAAAAAAAAATGTTATACAACTATTGTTCATGAATCATGACTTTCATCATCTGCTTCAGGTGAAATGTCGGGTTTACTGTCATACCCTCCTTTGTTTTGTACTCTGTCTTTAGCATCCAACCAATCTTTAAAGCAGATGTGCATCTCTATACTTTCATCATTCATACAGCTTCTCTTGTTGTCCAACACCTTATTACCTACATTAAATTAAAACAAGACACCAATGGAACTGTAGACACGGGAGGGGTGGGTTAGTAGATCACGTGATATAGCGATGAGAATTGGATAATTTTTTGAATGTTCACTCCACCAGGCTAAAATATCAAAATTATTTGTTCCCTCACCTAAAGTGGAAAAATTTGCTTATAAATAAAAACTAAGTTCAGTAAATGAACCTATTGTTGAAGTAGCATATTTATGCCTTCTACTTATTAAATAAGAAAGTTTTTCTCTTCTACCACTAGGCTCGAGTTTAGAAGTAGAAGATGCGGCTATACAACTTGTAGAATTATTTCTTATTACTTCATATTCATATAAACTGAACATTTCAAATAATAAACTATTAATTTCTTTTTTTATATTTCCAATTTCAACATTCATATTTTCACAATATGTTTCAAGTAAAATATCTAAACCATCTTTCCTAATCATAGGATCTAATATTGTAGCTAAGCAATAAAGAGGATAAATGTTCTCCCAATATTTTTTAAATTTATTTTCCATTATTTTAACAATACTTTTAAATTGTAGATTGTTTCTATATTTTGCAAAACAATCACTAATCGCCACTAATTAATAAGGTAAATTATAACTAGTTGAATAATAAATACCCGATAATTCATTAGTTGCATCATAAAAATATTTTAAAAAATCTCTTATACAAATTTTCATTTCTCCATCTTCCTCAAATATAATATCATTAGGCAATTTTGCATTATAAAAATCAGTAAGAATTTGTTTATGAGAAATACAACTTTCTAACATAGCATAGGTAGAATTCCATCTATGTTTAAAATCTAATATAAAATGTTTATATTTTAAACCATAATTTTGACATAAATATTTAAATTTTTGTTTTCTTGCTCTAGAAAACTTTTAATATATATAATACAATTTCTAATTTTGGAAATATGAGTAGAAATAATATTTAAAGTATCCCAAATACATAAATTTAAGATGTGATATGCACATTTGATATGAAATTATTTACTATTTAAACATGATTTTAATTGAGATTTTAAAATATTTATTGTAGAATCATTATTACTAGCATTATCAAAACTAATAGAAAATAATTTATTCTCAATTCCATAAGCATGTAAAGTACTTAAAATGCTTGCAACAATAGTTGGACCAACATGTGGCCATTCATGCCTAGTAAAACTTAAATTTCTTTTATTTAAAAGCCAATTTTCATCAATAAAATGGCCAATAACACAAGTATAACTTATGTTAAATTTAGAAGCCAAACATCATAAGTAATTGTAACTTTAGATTTAAGATTTGATAACATATAAATTAAATTTTGTTTATATGAATAAAAAAATTTTAAAGCATATGATCTAATAGTATTCCTAGAAACTTATTTTATAATTTGGATTTACAAAATTACGTAACCATTTTTCAAGTTTAGTATCTTCAGCTAACAAAAATGGTTGTTCAGCATGTAAAATGTATTTTGTTAATTCTTGCCTCATTTTTTCTTGAGAATATTTAAATGTACCAACCCCCCGCCCGCCTACAGAATTTGTGTTTGTGTTGTTTCTCTCCCTTCTTCTTCTTTTTTCTCATGGGTGAGCAAATGTCTGCCCAAATGGTCAGTGCCACCCTTGCTACAATAGCTAAAGTCTTTCTTACATTTTTAGCAAACAAATCTTTTTCCCTTCCCCTTAACCTCCTCTACTTTAAATATTTTCCAAACCGGGCTAATCAACTTAGAGGCCCTCTTTTTGTTTCCCCTAGGCTTCGTTTGTTTGCGATACAAACACCGAACCGAGGTATTTATGCACCCTGGTTTGCATTTGCGAGCGTTTGTTTGAAATGTAAAAAAGTAATGATTATCAAAGCAAAAATGCATTTTGTGACAGTTTTGTACTCTAAAAAGAGATGATTATTGTACCTATTTTTTGGATACAATTTTGTGTTCATTTGATAATTAACTTTTTGACCAAAGTTGAGGCATTGGAGCATAAGATAGTTAGAGCATTTAATGATGGGCCCACACCTTTGCATTGATTTCAAACAAACAGGATGAATGCAAAAATGGTAAATATGTAGTGTGCAAAAACGGTTTAAAATGTGAACCGTGTTTGCATTCATGAACCAAAAAAATGATAAATATGTAGTGTGCAAAAATGGTTTAAAATGTGAACCGTGTTTGTATTCATGAACCAAAAAATGGGTAAATATGTAGTGTGCAAAAACGGTTTAAAATGTGAAATGTGTTTGCATTCATGAACCGAAAATGGGTAAATATGTAGTGTACATATTTGCGTTTGCATTGCAAACAAACACAGCTCTAGTATCAGTACTAGGGGTGGAAGTTCCATCAATATCAATAGCATCCATATCGGCACTATCACAAACATGATGCGACTGAATATCGTCAATATAGAACATGTTGAGGAATTGGTTTCGAAGGAACCGACCATTTTTTAATTCTAAAAAAATAAAAATTAATTTAATTGAACTTACCCAAATTGCCAGTTCGGAATTCCAACTTGATATCAATAGTTGAATCCTTTCAACTCCAAGAGTCCAAGCCTCCCAAATTGCTAATTAACTTGAGATACTTGAGCTGGTTGAGCAAGTCTTCTTATTGAAACTTCAATAAAGTTGAGAATTGGAGAATCAACCAATCAGAGTTCAGACTTTAGAGAATGTATGACAGTATAAGAGAATAGATTAAGAGAATTGGTGAATTGGTGGGATGAGAATGGTAGAGGATATGGCTATTTATAGGAATTGAAAATAATTCAATTGCTCAAAATACCCTAAAAATTAATCGTTTTTAGTTGTTGGGAGGGGTATTTTGGTTATTATAAAGTTATTTATCACTTTACCCAAAATGCCCCCCTAAACTAGCTATTATATAGTTGTTAAGGGGCATTTGTGTCATTTTTCTCCCCCCCCCCATAACCAAAATACATAAATACCCCCCCACATATAGCTATTTATAGCTATTGGAGGGTATTTCTGTAAATAAAAAAACAAATGCTGAAACTAGTCATTAGGAACCCCCCAACAACTAGTTCTCAAACAGGCCGAGTGTGGACCGCTACAAGCCCGCAGGTCGTGCTGTGCCGCAGGCTGGGTCGTGCCGACCCATGGACTTCGAACCCCAGGCCCATCATTCTCTACCTGGAACAACGAATAATAATAATAATAATAATAATAATAATAATAATAATAATAATAATAATAATAATAAAGAAGAAAGTCTTTGTTTCGTTTGAGTGTGATGATGATAAATCCCACTTCCCAGTCTATGAGTCTAGATCTAATTGTTAGGCACATGGCAGTTTTGTGCATATGTTGTAAACCTATGAAAAAAAATGCATTCCCATGTGTTGAGAAGAGGCGACATAAAACTGTGATGTGTCTAGACTCTAGAACGGGTGATTGGAGACTCCTTTACTACTTCACCCAAACCACTTTTGCTACGACATGGTTTTTAGTCCACCCTCAATGTATTATTGTTGTTCACCTTGAAATAGATGAAGTGACGTTAAGATAGGACTACAACAATACATCAAAAGCTGTGATTCATGGTTTTAGCCTAAGCCGTAGCAGAAGTGAACTCTACTAGTCTCGAGCTTGTTGATTAAGCTTTGGAAATGAGAATTTCTAATCTTCATGCATTCAGATGGAAATTGCCTTGAGACTGAGACACACGCATGAATGCACGTAGTAAACGTATGTATGTAACACCAGGCCCAGTAAATGATTAGAACCAATTGGGTACGTTAAAAAAAAAAAAAAAAAAAAAAAAATTGATAAAATACTACTGAGGGGGCGTTAGAGGGGAGAAAGTTGATCAATGAGATTTTTGTTCTTATTGACCAATAATCTCATGTTCTTTTTTCAGATTTATGTGGGGGCCAAATAAAGTTTATTTTCCTAGATATCACTTACCCGGATAAGTGACACCCATCTCCTAAGTGGGTAAATAATTTTTCCACCTAGGGAGAAAGTTGCCAATACTTGAATGGGACAAAAATACCATTTTTAATAATAGATTTTTATGACTAAAATGGTCATTGTCTTATTTACATGAAAAATAAAAGAACATGGGTAAATGCACCCGAGTAAGTGTTTTCCAGGAAAAACTTACCCAGGTAACTGCATTTACCCAGATAAGTAACTAACCGAAAAGCCAATGGGGCCTGAATAACATTTTATTGCATAGAAAAATAGAAATGTAGATTTGCTCTTTTCCTTCCTAAAGATTTTAATAAATTCATGTCGGGTATTCACTGGTCACTACTCATGTCCAGAGCTCACCAATTCTTAAAACGTATGGAATGGAACTGAAACAAAAAAACGTCAGAGTACAGACAATGCGGATCTCTGATTTCCGCAGAACTATAAACATTCAAAAGGTTCACAACTCACACTCTATGCACCAATGCCCGCCCATGAATTTGCATCAATTCCGAACTGACACCTACCCCGAGAGTACTTTGAGCCTACAAATTCTGACCCTGAGTTGATCGGTCATTATCCCAAAAAACTTTGCACCCAACCCTATTAACTGGTCCGGGTAATTCGGATTTTTTGATAATCGGGTACCATTTCTGCCCTCGCCTCAGCAAGCCCCACGACCACTTCCATCCAATTCCAACCAAATTTCCAATCGTATTCGTATCAGAATTGCTTGTGGTTGATAACAGCAAAGGAAGTTGCAAACATTTATCAATCATGGAGTATAAACAAAGCAACGAATGAGTTCTCTCACTTTCTTCTTTCTAAATGTAGAATGTACAAACAAAACCCAACCAAACGAACACCTTGTGAATTCCCCATGATCCGTTGCGTCTCAGCAATTCCAAGCAAACTCCAGCCAGCTGGAATCATTGGTTAGTTGCATTACATTAACGACAAACAGTTTTTTAAAACCATGCCTCTAATTAATATCTCCACCTCTTATAAAACCTTGCTCTCTATCTAAACAGTTTCACTAAAGAAGCGAAGCCACCCTATAAGGCTTTAGCCTTTCCTAGCGAAGAAGGTTGTATCCCCATAAGTTCAGCTCTCGTTTTTATTTCTGTTTCTTGCAAGACATAGCTTATGGTCGTTTCCTCTCGTCTTCTCCACTCAAACAACCTCTTCTTTCAGTACTTATAATAAGCCTTCATCCCTTGCAACCCAACAAGGTTATATATAATTAGCACAGCAACGTCGATCAAGAGACATCAAAAGAGCCAAGGTTCACAGCAGGGGAATTGAATCATGGAGATTAAGGTAGAGGATGCAGAATCTCAGCATCTCAATGAACAATGCCGTCCCCTCCTTGAAGACACGAAGGTAACAGATGTTACAGATACAGAACAGAATAGGGAAATTCCACAGATGGAACAAGAAACTGTGATACAGAAGGCCCTCAGCCAGACGTTCAAGAGCACGGCCCATTTAGCAAATCTTCTACCTACAGGGACCGTGCTCGCTTTCCAGCTGCTAGCACCCATATTCACAAACCAAGGCCAGTGTGACACCATCAGCCGTTCCATGACAGCATGCTTTCTGGCCCTGTGTGGTCTCTCCTGCTTCTTGTTGTCCTTCACGGATAGCATCAGGGATGGGCGTGGGAAAGTCCGATATGGAATAGCAACCTTCAGAGGGCTATGGGTCATTGATGGGTCTTGCACTGTTTCGTCAGAACTGGCTGCAAGATACAGGATCAAGTTCATTGATTTCATTCACGCCTTCATGTCAATTCTGGTGTTTGCAGCAGTTGCCCTTTTTGATCAGAATGTGGTTAACTGCTTCTACCCAGCACCCTCAAAGGAGATGAAGGAGCTTCTCATAAAATTGCCTGTTGGGATTGGTGCCATTTGCAGTATGTTGTTTGTGGTATTTCCTACCACCCGTCATGGAATTGGATTCCCTCTCTCTCCCCATTAAGCATCTTCTTCTCATTCTTCTCAATTGGTTCATTCATATGGATTTCCATAATTGAATGAGGCATTCGGGAGTGTCACGTTTGTACAAATTTCTTTTCAAACAATTCATCATTCAATAATTTCTATTCTCCTTGGAATATGACTTTGTCCATGAACAGAAACCACTGCTGGACAATTTTACGTGGGTTGTTGCAACTCATATTGATTGGTCCAGCTCATGGTCCATCTAATCCTAGTTCTAGCTTTGTAGTTGTAGGCAGGCTTGTAGAGCAATTCGACTGAAACTGTATGATGATGATGTACATTACCGACCCATAACCAAACTTAACCCGGTCGAGGCACAATCAAAAAGAACAGAACAGTAACCTGGTGAATAATTAAACTAAAAAGAGATTGGTTGGACTGACAAATTTGTTTAAATGAATATCTTGGACATGGGTTCACTCTGCCATAACAATTGTCTAACCATTATGCATTTGAGCCCAGATTTCCTACAAACTTTTCCTACCCACTCTCTACCCGCCCTGAATTGGGGCCACACATCTCTTAATTCATAGTAGAGATGTGTGGCTCCAATTCAAGGCGGGTAGAGAGTGGGTAGAAAAAGTGAGTAGGAAATCCCGAGTGTACGCATTTGTAGTTAAATAGATGAATGGCCCCCCTCTTGGTTTGGTCCACCAAGGCATCAACCCGACTAAAAGTTTGATACTTACCAGGTGGTACACATGGCATCAACCTATCCATGGCAGTTCTGGTGGAGGATCAGACTTTGCAATAGGATCCATGTCAAGGATGCGGGACTTCCAGATGTTTGAAACGTCTTCTGTTAGTCTGCACAGCTTCTACTGGAAGGCTTTAGGAGATTCCATTTATTTCCATGCTCGTACCAATAGATGCCTATCTGATACTTTGACGAAAAGCTATCTATAATCTGTGATCTCCACTCATGCATGTGGCTTTTGAGTCTCTAGTATCCACCAATGAAAGCACATCTCTGACACCTTTTAGGCTAAGTTTCTTGCAAAGTCCAGCGTATGGAATGCAGGGATTGATCTCTTCTCACACCTTCCAATGGAGAAATGTAGCTTTCCTTAATATCAATAATAAAGGATAATTCCTAAAAATGAAACAATAGAGAAAAGATTACTGGAATCAAATTGTAATCTCATATGGTAAGCAGGTTCAGATGTCTATCATATTGAGATAGAGAATCTTTAATTGAACCATCAAGAAAACATCCAACATACTGCAGTTTATAAGGCCCCATATTAGCTGTGAGTTCAATGCTCACATGATAACATTACAATCCACTAGCAATGCCACAATATTGCAACCATGGATACTGCTAGAAAGAGACACTGCATGCTGCAAATGGGCCGGCCATATATAAACCCTATCATAAGACCCATACTATCCATTATTGAATCTATACCGCATTTTTGTTTCTCTTTACCTTCATGCCCATCTTTTTTAAGAACTGCAAATTTTAGAAGGTTAATGATGTGAAGACAAAAGAATATTAAGAAACACAAATTAGATACCCTAAGAAATGAAGTTTATTGTGATATAGGATAATCTGATGTGGCTGATTCTGATACTTGGGGGTCCTAGGTCTTTAACCAAAATCTTCAGGCTGATAAGAATATGCACAGAATATTTGGTCAAAGGGCATATAGCACCATATGAACCCATATCACATCCTTAAAAACACAATGCTGCCTCTTTTTTCTTTGAGTACATTAAAACACAATGCTCTCTCATGCATAGATAGATGCAATCAAATACAGAATGTGCATTACAACCAATTAATATACCTGCTTATGAATTATGGCCTTGTTTATGAATATAGTTCTTTCTTTAGAAAAAAGATGTTGGGAAGAAAATAAGAAAAGCTATCAATAAGTGATCAGTACCTCAAGATGCCTGCTTCATGGTAGCTCTTTGAAGAAACCATATAAAGCAGACAATCTAACAGGCACAGTGCATACTGCATATGAGCTCAAATAAAACGCACCTTGATGGGGGAACCAGATTCTGTCATTGCCATGAAGGAATTGGACTGGCACTATGCACATTAATGGATGGCATGTGGTTTCATGAATTCTGTCCTTTCAAGCGGTTTTATTCATTGCCTGCAAATGAGATCAATATTGAACATATGGGTAATGCTCAACAAATCCTCCAATGTCTCAAGCACAACTCAGTTAGCACCTTAAGAAACAACCATGATACATGTGAGCCACAAGCCTGTTTCCAGGCATAAAGGGTCTTGTGCAAGATGTGAAAAATTGCATGATATTGTAGGCCTCAAGCAGTATGCACTCCGGAGAGAGGTTTTTTTATCAAATAACAACTTCCTATAGTGGAGTCCAGAATGGCTGCAAGGATGCAAGATCTTGCTAAAAATCAAACTTTGGGCTCAAGAAAGTCCTGCATCAACTCAACTTGCAGCAACTCAGCAACTTCTCGCACATTCCTTCGACTCCAGAATCCATCAACAACAGAATTCCATATGGCCTTATCAGGAACACATCCTTCCAACACCATCTCATTGACAAGGCGAGCAGATTTGTGAATGTCGCCTATCTTAGAAAAACAACTTACAAGAGAATTAAATGTCTGAGAATCAATGGAGATGCCTCTGGTACGTGTACTAAGATACACTTGAAAGGCTCGACTTGAATCATTATCAGTACAAAGGCCCTGAACAACCATATTATGAATCTTAACATGAAGGCTCCAAGTTAGACGATTAGGTGAGATTCCCCCAAGAACCATCTCATCAAGGAAATTTGCAGCCTCTTGGAATTTAAAGGAATCACAGAGACCATGTATAACTTTTCCATACAACCCTGCATCTGGTTTCAATCCTTGAAGCTTCATCCTGTCAAGTACCTCCAGTGCTTCCCTAATCTTTCCTTCATTGCAAAGTCCATTAATCAAAGCACTATAAGTAATCATATTTGGGGAATAGTGCTTACTAACCATCCTTTCCAGTAACCCAATGGCTTCTGAAGATTGTCCACTCTTGCAGAGACCATCCATCAAAGAACTGTAAGTAACTACATTGGGTTCAATACCTTTGCTACTCATCTCTTCAAATAATTTTATGGCTTCATTCAAACTGTTAGACAAGCACAAACCATGAATCAAAGACGTATACGTAACAACAGTGCATGAACAACCTTTTGTTTCCATCTCTTTGAATAGCTCCTTTGCTTCTTCAATCCTTTGCATCTTACATAACCCATTAATCAAAGTACCATACGTGTAAGAATCAGGAATACATCCACGGTTGGGCATTTCTCTGAATATTCTAAGAGCAGCATCCATTGTCCCACTGCTCATGCAAAGAGCCTTGATCAAAACATTGAGTGAAGCAGTATTGGGTGGAAAACCCATTTCTTTCATGTGCCTGTAAATTTTTTTGGCTATCTTCAACTGGTTATTATCAACAAGAATAGAACAGATGGTGACATAAGATTTTTGAGTGGGTTCACACTGGAATTCCTTCATATTGTGAAAAATTCTGAGGGCATCAAGTGGCCTGTGAGCTCGCCCATAAGCTCTGCAGATGGAAAGGAATATGCCTTCTGTAAGATCACACTTCTCCTCCTTCATTCTACTGAGGAGCTCCTCAGCTGATCTGAACTGATTAGCTGAAACTAATCTGGAAATCATGACTCCAAAGGTGTTGTGATCATGTCGGAATCCATTAGCATACTCACCTGTTGCTGAATCAAAGATGAGAATTGCTTTCTGGATGTCTCTTTCTGCTCGTATCAGCTTCTGTACTTGGGATGTTGTGATTTGTTTTGACCATTTGATTAGTGTCTTGTTGCTCATTGCAGTGGTTCCCCTTAAGAATCTACTTAGTGTTGCAAGAAATCAAGAAGGTTAAGTATTTGGTTTGCGTTCAACCTGACTTTAGTGTTGCAAGTCTTTGTATTTGGCAAGAAAGCAATATTCTTGGGAATCATGCAGAAGCAGAAGCACCTGGACAAATTATGAAATTAGAATCAGGTCTCACAGACATAAATATAAATTTTCCCTTGGATGCAGCCAGTGCCCTGCTGTGCTATGGGCATAAATGACAATGACAGAAATATTATGAGAGCAAAACTAAATGGTAGCCTAATATTTAGAATTACAAATGCATGTTATGGAACATTGGTCTCCCGTTGCACATTAGTCAGATAGGAACTTGAGAGTATTGGAGTTTTTGCTTGCCTCTTAGGGGGCATTCTTTTTTCCGATTTTGAGAATGGAAAGTTGGTCAATGGGATTTTGATTCCCATTGACCAAGAAATCCATATTCTTTTTTCAGATTTATGTGGGGAATAGGGAAAGTTTATTTTCCTGGGTATCACTCACCCGGGTAAGTGATACCCATCTCCTAGGTGGGTAAATAACCTTCCCACCTGGGGGGAAGTTGCCAACACTTGAACGGGACAAAAATGCCCCTTTTAATAATGGATTTTTATGACTAAAATGGCCATTGCCTTTTTTACTTGGGAAATAAAAGAACATGGTAAATGCACTTACCCGGGTAAGTCTTTCTTGGAGAATACTTACCCAGGTAAGTGCATTTACCCGGGTAAGTGACTTACCGAAAAGCGAACATGGCCTTAGTGATAAAACCCTTATTAACCCTCGAGATTTAACCACTTATTTTTCAAATATACATGAATTCTAAATGATGATCCCAAAATTCAAATTGATCAACTAAGCAACCAAGAAAACAATGACATGAATGCTAGTAAATAGGATACAAAGATGAACAGGAAAGAATAGAAGAGAATGGTTACAGAATATACAATGTAGAGTTTCATATTATAAATTTCAAAGAAGAAAAAGAAAGCATATTGAAATATTTCTCCTACCAATTTTCTCAAACAGTTAGTATGTTGTAAAAAGTAGTGTAACTTCAACCTTTTATTGAATGTCCAAAATAATGTTCTCCATAATAAAGAATAAGGAAAAGTTCGATGTTTCCAAAGTGGCAAAGTGCACCTACTATAATTCTCCTAGAAATAATGAATTGCTTGAAACTATGAACCAGAACCCAGAAGACGAAGATCAATAGAAACCCGAAGCGAATGTTGAAAAGGGCTTCTTCCTTGGAAAATAAAACTAGAAAAGTGGACAAAGAAATGATAAAGAAAACAATATCAAATAGAGGAGAAATAACTTACCATATTGTTGCTTCTTTATTGCTAACTAATTTCACGTTTGTGATCATAGTCCAATGAGACAAAGCACAAGTTTTTTGATGTCTTCCCTTTGTTCCTATTGTTAAGTGAGAACTAATTCTGATTTCTGATCTAACCTTATTTTGGTTGAACGCTCAAAAGAGCATTACATAGATTGAATGGCTATGAAAGATGGTTAGAGCAATTCAGGTCAGGCCTAGATCCCTGGTGGTAATTGGGTGCAGCAAGCTGCAAGCCAGCCATATCAAGTCTGTTCATATCGGGTCAGATTCGGTCCAAATTGACCAATTCGGTAATAGAAAACCCAACTCGATCTCCGGTCCACTCAAATCAGATTTTTTTTGGGGTTTTACCGTTCAGTTTGCAGTTCAAATCTGAATTCTGAGGTGGAGTGCAGTCTAAAAATCCCTTTTTTTTCTTTTGATAGATTGGATAACAGAAAAACCAACTTGATCTCCGGTCCACTCAAATCAGGTTTCTTCTTTTTTTAAGAAACAGACAAAGAAAGGGCGATTTCTCATTTCTCAAATGATTAATCCAGAAAATATCACCTTGTTATGTTTGAGCTTCTGAGAAGCCGGCGGCGTAATTTCAATGACGGCGGGATCATAAAGTGAAGAACTTCCATCCGACAATACCTGATTTGGTCCATCGAAATGGATTTATATTGGAATGGGTAGGGTTGAACCAATATCCTCCCTATCCATGATGGGGACACGACTTCCCCAAGCCTGGGGTTGGGGATGGGGATTGTTTTAGCGGGGTGGGGATGGTGATTAATAGGAATTCTCGATCAGGGTTGGAGTCGGGGATGAAAATTCGGGTCTCCGTGGGAAACCTATCCCCGTCGGGAATTGGGAATGGATAACAAATTTTATACCTGACGGGGATCGGGGACGGGGATGGGGGTTAATTTCAGAATCGAGATTGGGGACAGCCGGACAGGAAATATGATCCCCGACTTTTGCCATTCCTAGATAAGACTAGGGGTGTTAATGGACCGGGTTTAGGTTGGACGGTTGGACCCAATCTAAATTAAAACCAATTTGAACAAGTTGGATGGTCCAATACGACATTAAGTTGGATCAATCCAGTCCAAAATATCCATCAAATTGCATTGGGCCTGGTCCATCTGTGATGAACCCATATGGCATTAGATTAGGTTGGACCAATATCCGGTCATTGTTAGCCCTAGTGATTGGTTGGTAGATGGGTTGATCTGAAACCCACATCCAACCCAACCCACCCATTTACCACCCCCTAGTCTCCCCAATTGCAAGCTATTTCTCTAACTAGCATTGGCATCTACATGATGCCAACAATGTCCGAGACAAATCCATCGTTGCCACTGACATAGGGGGTGTTTGGGTCCATTGCAAAATGTTTTTTCATGAGGCTATTTGGTTCCATTGTTGTTTCCTGAGAAAACGACACCACGTAGAAGCCACGTCCAATGTTTTCAAAACCAAACCGGACTGGACAGTCGGATTGGAAAGACCAAGAACCGATCATTTGACTGGTTCCATTTTACCCCAAAACCGCTACTTGGCCAAAAACCGTTGATTTGGTCAACAAATCATTGACTCAGGCGATCGAACCATTGAATTGTTCGACCCAGTAATTGTTTTTGGCCTTTTTTGGGTTATTTAAATTTTTTTTTTGTCAAAGCGGGCTGTCCATTTGGACCAAATGGTCAAACCGTTCGAACCAGGAACCAGACCCCAGAACAGTTCCCTATCCGGTCCGGTTTTAAAAACCTTGGCCACATCAGCCACCATATTAGAAAACACTTTGTAAAAAGAAAAAGGCACCAAAATGGTGTTTTCTAAGATGGACAATTTTTTGAAAATAATGGCAAAACTTCTTTTTTATTGTTTTTTGAGAAAACAGCTAATGTCGATGTGTTTTTTGCCTTTTACTTATGAGAAAACAGCAGTAAAACTTCCCCTATCCTTTTTCCCCCAAAGTGCTAGTTGCGGGATTTGATTCCACATCAACACTGGAACAAATCAGCTAACACACCAACGAACCAGCATTCGGTGGGTGGTCTCCAGTCATAATATCCATATTTGATGATGACCATCAAGTAGATAGTGAAAATAAATCAACTTCAACACATGAATCATACAGTCAATGCCCACATATTATGGTTCAAAAAGGTCCACCATTAACAGACCAGTCTCTTTTCCAATGTGGTTCAAAAACAGTTGAAATTAAAAAAATTGCTATGGTTTTGGAACCTTAACATCCCTTTTTAGAACCATAAACCCAATACCATTACACCACCTAAAACTTTTTTTTGAAAGGTGAATACTATATTTAGAGGTGGCAATTGGGTGGGTTGGGTTGGGTTCGGTTTGGGTTGAGTTTCAACCCAACCCATCTAACCCGCCAACCCATTAATGACCCAATTAGATAGAATTAAATGGGTTGGGTTCAACCCAAACCACCTGAACCCAACCCAACCCATTTAGATAAAATAATGAAAATTACACAAAAAATAATAGAAATTGCATGAAATAAAATAGAAATTAAACAAAAACAAAAAAAATTAATAAAATTAATAGAAATTACATAAAAAATCATCAAAAAAATAGAAATTACATATAAATTTGAAAAAAAAATTACAAAAAAACTGAAATTGCATAATTATATAATAAAAATTATAGAAAAACATAGAAAATGAAGAAAAATAACAGAAATTACAAAAAAACAAAGAAAAACTAGAAATTGCAGATAAAAAGAACAGAAATGCGAGAATCACTATTGAAATTTCAACTTTGGCAAAGAAATTAAATCTCAAAGTTGTCTCTTAACCCAAGAGCCTGACACATAAGAGCTGAATAATCTAGTTCAAAATAATCTGACACCCAGTCTCTCTCAAATGAAAAGGTGAAGAGAAATTTGAACCGTGAATGGGAGAAATTGGGACCCTCTGGCTTAGAAGGGTTGCTCTTCCTGTGGAATAGCCATTCAAGCTCATTTAGGAAGTGCAGAACATCCTCCCTGGACTGTGGCCGCCCTAAATCCTGAAACTTATCTTGTGTAACGATGCAAGCTGTTCTAGAAACTTGATCAAACCCTGACTCAGCCCCTCAAAACTGAGGACCACATGCTTGCATCTGCCTCAAATGGCATGCAGTTGATTAGATTCATTGCCTCTACAAGAAAACCAGCACGAGCAAACAGATCACTCATGCATGAGCAGTGTTCACTCTCTGGCTCAATATGATAATCTTCTTTCATTGTATAAAACCATCTCTCTCCCTCACTGACTAATCCACAATGGTTGCAGGCAGACAATACACCTGAAAAGGTGACATTGTTTGGATCAACACCCACATGTCTCATCTCATCAAACAACTTCAATGCTTCAAGTCCATAACCATTTGTAGCATAACCAACCAACATTGAGTTCCATGGGTCTTCATCAGATTTCACCATCTGATCAAACAATTTCCGTCCATCTTTAATGTTACCACACTATGGCTGTCAAGGATCAAGCATGTATTAATCCTGTTTAGAGAGGCTATTATTTTCTAAGAAAACAGGTCCTTTTCTTCATTTGATAGAAGAGTTTAAGATTAGAATAAACCAGAATTCTGATATTGCACAAAAATTCCCACAGAGTTTATTAACCTTTATCCAGAAAAGGGAAAGAGAAAAAGAAAGAAAAGAAAAATAAAAAACAGATGTAAGCAATGGCTGATCACATGGTATGGGGTTCTCAACTGCATTAAAACAAATCAGCAGTATATTCTTTTGTTGTTAACATGGAAAGTTTTAGTACATATGACCTATTTTCTTCTTTACTACCACCAATTAAGCAATGTGCAGGATCCACCTTTCTTCTTTACTACCACCAAAAGAAAAGGACCTATTTTCTTGGAAAATAATAGCCTCTCTAAACAGGTTTATTTACAGTGCAAAACTTAACATGAAACAAATTTTCTACAAAGTTAGATAAAAATGACCCAAACAAAACTTAACATTTGTACTGCTAAAAATGAATAGATTGCAAACGAAGCTGAGTCGAAGGTGCAGTTGAGTTGGAAATACAAGCAAGAGAAGGAAAAAGAGACAAGACAGTGCAAAGTAATTCCAATTAAACTTCTTTTGACTAGACATCTTCACACCCAAGTCCCAAGTCCCAACCATATATCAGGACGTGAGTGCCACATGCATTGATATTGACCGTATCTGTTTTAATAATTCACCTTTCATCATTGTTTGGGTGTGATTAGTGACTATGACTCTGTGAGACTGAGACAATTCACTTTCTTCTAAATCAATTTGACCTCATAATCTAGAATTCTCATTCTCTTGATTACTCCACCTAGAAAACAGATAAAAGGAAAAAACCCAACTTCAAATTTCATACACATCAGCCTTATTATAATCTGCAACAGTGTGAATGATTCATGGCATGCATCATTTATTATAAACCATGCATATTAAGAGAACTGTGTGTTAGTGTTATGATCGATGGGGATGGGGCACATGAAATAAACTATTTACCATAAGAAGGCTGAGCCAGACGCTACCTTGGTCTTCAGTCTACCTTGTCAAATCATACAAGAAACCATTTCCCATAAGAAGGCTGAAGACCAACCTCGGCCTAACCCCTAACTTCTTTCCCTCTTTTCCTTTTCTCTTTTTCTTTTCTTTTCCTTTTTTCCATCAATAAATACACCACCCAGCCCCACTAACTGCCCTCCTCCTTCCACCAGCATTACTTCACTTCACAGTCTCTCTCCCTCTCCACTCCACCTCCCATCTCTCTGTCTCTCTTTCTCTCTCTGCACTATAATCTTTAGGTCTTGTCTAGAAAAACAATCTTTAGTGAATTCAAACAATCATCTTGACAAGCAATTAATTCTAGCTGCTATCAAACCAAAACCAATGGGCTGTTTCTCTCACATTCTACAAGAATTTAGCATGTTGTAAATCCAATTTGAAAGATCACCCACTGGTTGGTGAAGCTGTCTATTTCCCAAATAAGCTTTAGGCATCACCCTGAATCATAGAAATCAGCACTAACAGATTTTAGGGAATCAACCGATGTGGTAATTTTATAGATGGGAAACCTAGCAAAGCAATTCCTCCAACCAAACATTCCTAAGCATGTGATGGGCACCACATTTTGGTCATTTAAAAGTGGCTATTTGTGTTGTGACTTCAACAAATGGAGGGATCTTCAATTAACCTTTTAGGTGATTCTAGCACAAAATCAAAACCTAAACAAACTAATGCCATATCAAAATCTAACGAGGAATGAATGAAAGAATGTGAGGACATATCTGCCTGAAAAAAGCAACACCAGTGAAGAAGGATGACCAAAATCATGAATGAGTAACAGTAGAAAGTCTTGAGCCGTCCACTAGTCAATTTTGATTTTCCCCCATCTTGTAGAAAGTCTCATTTGGGTCCTCTAGTAACAGTTCTGCTGTGTCCCTCTTTTAGATACATTAAGACATTGTTTTCCTAGTCTAACTTGATTTTTTTAACATTACAAGATAGTCCACAGGAGTGCTTTCAATTTCTTATGATACATTTGAAGGTTACTTAGTTTCTTCCACTTCCCAAACAAACTTGGATTCAATTCCCCTGTTAGTGCATTACTGTGTAAATAGTGTTGTGAAATATGGGTGAGGTTAGCTAGAGAAAGAGGTAGGATACCGGAAAGTCGGTTCATAGACAAGTTAAAGTAGGTAAGCTTCGGCCAGTTTCTAAAGAAATTATAATCTATACCATCAGAAATTACAAATGGCAACTGAAAACTCTGCAAAATATTTTCAAAAAGTCCTACTCATCAACGTCTTGGATTTTCAGAGATTAAATATTCAATATTAAAATGTATGCAGCAGGCTAGTCATTTATTGTACAAAGCCATAACCTGAATCTGTGACAGTTTTCTTCACCACATGGCAGAACTTCATATGCTAACTTGATAACCATAAAAGAAATTAAATGATTAAGTTGCAGTTCTCACAGAAAGAAGGCTTCCACTGCCTGGAAAACTCTGTCAGTGGAAGTTCCTCGCTAGATGTAGATGGAAGTAAACCCTGCTTCTCAACCCACTGGCGAGACAAGGTTAAGGATACAGAGAGAGAGAGAGAGAGAGAGTTTGAGTACCTGAAATGGCAGCCTAAATCGACGTATTGGTCTCTGCTAAACCCTAGAATTCGTCCTTCCCTCTGCGTTCTCCGATAGCCTTAATCGCCGTATCTCTGCTAAAACCTAGAGTTCCCTCTTCGTTCTCCGACAGATTAAATCATTGTATTGATCGAATGGTCTCTGCTAAACCCTAGATTTCATCATCTCCTCTTCTCGTTCAGGCGTTCTCTTCTCTCAGTTCTGTGTCTGTATCGAGTATTCTCTGTGACTCTCTGCTCCTTGATGGGTTCGATGGTTAACCATCACCCAACCCGCCCAATCCATTAAAGCCCATGCTTATTGGGTTAATCGACCCACAACGACCAGGAATTAAATAAACGGGTTCGACCCATTAATAATTGGGTGGTTGGGCGGGTTCAGCGGGTTGGGTCAAAAAATTGCCGCCCCTAACCACATTAACACACATAGGATAATAAAGTCCTCAACCCTGGGTATCTGTTCTAGATAATCTGAACTTACAAAAGAAGAGATTTAGCTAATTGGGAAAAGTTAAAACTTTTTTTGAGGTTCCTTAACAACATCCTGGTTTTCAACAAAAGCAAGTGACATGACCAGGGAGTATCCATATGCTGCATAAACGTTCTTATCAACTGCTTAGCATCAAAACATAAACAAACTTCTTTAAAATTCCAGTAAAATCTGCAAAATAGCAAATAGTTCAGCTTGAATAACATAATTAACTTGAGAGGTTCGTCCTCCAATTATTTTCATATAGGATAAATTTCGAGATAAAATGATAATGCCATAGATAAATAGAGAGTCCGAAATTTTTCCTGCATGTGAAAACACAATAAAATCTGTAGTTTGAGATATAAGAAGAGAGTATTTGCTATCCCTAGGTTGATTTAAAAGAGATTGGGAATCATTGATGCAACCCATGGTGAGGTGAAAATAATGATTAACCATCTTTGCAATTGACACAGGTAAATTTGATGATTTTGAAATGATTTTTCATTTCGAGCAAACCAAATATAATACCACGCCACGCCATGGCAATCCAACCCAGAACATGCATAAAAAGAGATTGCTCAGGGATTAAATTATGAAAATTTTGAATGCCTATAATCCAAGAATTTTGAAAAATATGTTGCAGTTGAAGATTCCAATGATTGGTGAAGAGAACAACTTGGGCAAATTGGCATTTAAGAAATAGACGGGATAAGGATTCTATTTCAGTATTACAAAAAACACAAAGTTTTTGATGATCTTCTAAGTAAAGATGTTCTTTTACTAGAATGAAATTGTTAATTTTCATGATCTTCGAAAGAAACATGTGTATTTCCTTCTTATAATTTTCATTTACCAAATATTTTCCAGAGCTATGGCTCTCCCAAATCCAAGAAATATCATTATTAGTAGGATAGACAGGTGTTCTGAGAATTTTGGTAGCTTATGGGAGAGGAAATAAAGAGTGAATAAGGTTCTCATTCCAGGTTCCTGACACAAGAAAGTTGAAAATATTTAAATTACGAAGATGGGGGCTAAGGGAAGAGAAACCCAGTATAATTTAGAATCTGATTGTATCCAAGGGATTTGAGAAATCAAGAAGGATGAATCTCCATTTACTAAATGCCCACATTCAGAAGATAATTCAATTAATTTTGGACAAATATATTTCCAGTAAATCGAGCTTGAAGCAGGAATAGAATAAGGAAAGGTAGTAAGTTTTTTGAGATATTTGGATTTCCAAATCTGAGCCTAGAGTTTATGTTGTTCATTAAGGAATTTCCAAGCAATTTTCTTAAGAAGGCTTTGATTTACTAGATTCAATTTCTTAAATCCAATGCCTCCATGAGATTTAGGCAAAGTAAGAGTGTTCCAGGAACACCAACGGTAAGGATGTTTACGATTATTTGACATACCCCACCAAAAGTTCCTAATTGTTTATTCCATACTTTCAATAGTTTTTTGAGAGAACTTAACTGAAAACATTGCATGAAGGGGGGGGGGGGGCTTGGAGAACAGATTGGATTAAGATTTTCTTACCAGCCCAGCTTATTGCCGAATCCCTCCAATTATTTAATTTGGCTTTTAGATTTTCAAGAATATAGTTCAAGTTGACATGTCTATTCTTGGACCAAAAAAGAGGAAGACCCAAATATTTATAATTTCGGTTTAGAGGACCAATATTGATTTGCCTTCTGATCATACATTGTAATCTAGGGTGAATATTTTTACTGCAATAAATTCTAGATTTCTCCAAATTGATTTGTTGACCAGAGGCATCCTAGAAATCCTTTAGAATTTGACTAAGGTTATCAATTTCATCTATATGGGTAGGAATAACATTACATTGTCAACAAAGAAAAGGTGGGAAATTTTTGGAGAAGAGGGAGTAAGAGAGATACCTTGAATTTTCCCATCTTGTTCAAATTTAAAGAGAAGTCTAGAAAGACCTTCCATATCTAAAATAAATAAATAAGGAGATAAAGGATCTCCTTGATGAAGACCACGAGAGGGGTAAAAATGTCCTTCAGAAGTGCCATTGATAAGGACTAAAAAGGAAACAGTTGAGATATATTCCTTAATCAAGAGACAGAAGTTCTCAGAAAACCCTAACAAAGACATGACTTTAAGAAGAAAAATCCATTCTAACTGATCATAGGCTTTTGTCATGTCTAATTTTAGAGCTAAATAGCTTGTGCCTCTTTTTCTATGTTTAAGGAAATGAAACATTTCCTGAGTAATGATATAATTATCTGACACTTGACGGCCCGAAACAAAAGCTACTTGATTGGGAGCGATACACTTGTCCAAAATAGAGCGGAGACGATTAGTTATCAGCTTAGTTATGACTTTATATATAACATTACAAAGGCTGATAGGTCGGTAATCCTAGACTTTTGTACAATCAACCTTTTTTAGGAATAAGACAAATAAACGTGTGGTTTAGTCTTTTCAGAAGTTTTTTATTTTGGAAAAACTCCTGGACTACTGAAACTATGTCTGGTTCCATCAGCTTCCAATATTGTTTAAAAACAATGGCTAGCATCCATTCTGGACCTGGAGATTTGAGATTCCCAATGCTAAAAAAGGCAGATTTTACCTCCTCGAGTGAGGGGGTAGTTAGGAGCATAACATTATCCTCTTCAAAGTAGGGCTGTTCATAAGAAGACCCGACCCGAGTCATCTGGGTTTTCTTCAGCATCGGTCGGTTTCGGGTTGTAAAAAATCATAAACCGATGATTCGGGTTGGTTTCGTTTTCATGTGTGAAAATTGAAACCGACCCGAACCGAACCAGCTTAGTAATTAGTTCCTAGTTAGTAGTTACAACCTACTTAGTTCCTACTTAACTAAGTTGTCTCTATCCTAGTTACAACCTAGCTTAATTTCTAGTCTTCTAGTTAGGAATGACATTAATGGCAAGTATTGTAAGACAACTAGACAATGAATGTTTTTGGAAAAATTTAAAGAAAAGAATCAAAGGGTCGTAGTTTCTATGGTCTTTTACACCAAATAGGCAACCAATTACAATTAGAATTAGGTGTCCTTTTTTACTTAGATTAKAAGGTTTCTTRAAATATACAAAWTYCAGTCTTCTTTCTCTAATACAGTTTGACTTTCTATTTTCTTGATAACTTCTATTCTAACTTGGTCCGCCCCCCTTAGCCCCTCAACTCAAGCACAATCGCTAA